GGACAGTGAAAGGATATGGGTCTGGAGAATGCTTCACCAAGAGTTTTGGCTCAACAGATTGCAGCCAACTGTGAAGCATGGTGGTTTCAGCGTAATGGTTTGGTGGGAGATCGAGCTTAGTGGAGTGCGTTGGCAACATACATTTTGCGAAATACGTCGAAATATTGGAGGAAGGACACTTGCCAGTTTATTCCTCGGGTTTCGTGGACAAGAACACAACGTCGTTCCAGGAAGATGGAGCACTGTGTCACACTGCTAGAAACACCCAAAAGTTGCAGGAAGAAAATGGTATCCACAAGTTGCCCTGGCCGAGCCAATCTCCTAACATGAACCCCATCGAAAACCTCTGGGCCATACTCGACCAGCAAGTCAAGAAACAACCAAAAAAACCAACTTCGAAGAGTGATCTACTCCAAGTTTTGAAGCAAGAGTGGGCGAAAATCCCACAATCTAAAATTGACGAGATGATTCTCACGATGCCCCAAAGGATCAACGAACTCCAAAAAGCAAAAGGAAGATCTACTAGATATTAATTAAATTATAAATATATCAATTCATGTGAATATGACTGAAAAATTTCATTTTTTCTGAAAAGGTGGTGTCTATTTACTTGTGACCACGTTTTGTACTTGATCATCACAGTTTTTTTTATAAAGAAATTTATTTTCTATTCAAAAATAAATACCGTTGCAAGTAATTTATTGTTATTATAAGAATGGAAAGAATTATAATATTTTTGGTTAAATCCCTTGACTTTTTCTCACTAATTTTATCTTATTTTGGAGAATAAAAATATATTATAGAATTAAAAATTGTCCAATGATTCTATTAATCAAAGCTCAGCAACTCCTTTATAAGTGTGGTAAAAGCAATTTCATTACGATAATACACATCATTTACCTCCTGATTATCTATGAATTTAAAGGTCTGCTATACATATTATGCTTTCCACAAACTAAGCAGATGTAGTTTGCATGGTTTTATAGTCTAACTGATTGTTGGTTTAAATGCAGCAGTGATGTTCTGTGGATGTCAATAAATGTGGGGTGGGATAATTAAAAAATTATTCTATGTTCTGGAGATTAGTATCTTTTTCCATTTGATTATCATGACCCACCACTTAGAAATACGTGGCTATATTCTTTATACACTTTTACTTGTCTTTGCCAGGGATAACATATCCCAGTTTTTCTGATGTATGTAAGTTTCAATGGTTACATAAAGTGCAAAATTTCACATAACATACAGAAAGTACACACATTTTTTAAAGCTGTTTATAAAATACGTGGACTTAATAACACCCATAAATTACCACTAAATATATATATATATTTGCATACAGTAGAAAATTAGATATGTAGTTATGGAATTTAAATGATACGATGCATTACTTATGAATTTGTTGTATTTCTGGGTTACCAGCAAATGAAAAAGAAAAATGAATATAGAGTTGTGGAAAATCTAAGAAGAGAGAGAGAGATTACAATGACATGGCTGAATTTCTTAGTTTTGCCATTGAGCTGTTATATATATAAGATTGTTAACTCCTTTGTTAAGCTCATAAGTCAGTGAAGAAAAAACCTGGTAGTAAAATTTTTTTTTACTAACCATATGCATGAAATTTGAAACATGATTGAAGACCTTGTCAAGAATAATTAATCTTTTCCAAAAGAAAATGGGGTTTAAAAAGTTTATTAGAAGTCGTTTTATTTGGAGTGATTTTTGTCAGTACGAAAAAGGTCAAATACTACTTATGACTCTTAGCCTTTCAACAGAAAACAATGCACCATTTAAATAGAATCAATAATTGAATCCAATATGAGAGTTTTTGGCCACAATCTTTATGTTTGTTCTCTCTCTTAACATTTAAATTTGATGATGATTTTGTTCATAGTTAAGAAGATCACTTGATAGTTTTTTTTTGTCAGAAAGAATGACTTGAAAGTAAACTTTCTAATAGGAATGTACATTTACTTTGTGAATAAATATTTTGGGTTATATTTTATACAAGCTATTTAAAACAATCAAACTTTTCCAATGCTCTATGTGAACTATTTTATATATTTACTACTTTTTTTTATTATTATTATGAAAAGTTAAGAACAACTTTTCTAAAATAGTTCCGTTCTGTAAATAGCTTCTTCTACAACTAATCCATTTATTTATGATTAATATTATCATGCCAGTTTGTAATACAACACAAATGGGAATTTGTTGTACAAAATACAACCTTTGTTCCAGTTTAGCTGCAAGGTAACAAATGAAGATAATGGAAAAATATTGCATTAATTCCTATAAGTGTTTATGCTTTCTTTTAACCTGTTTTTATGAAAAATATCTCAAATACAATCTTGGCAATGTTTTCAACAAGGTAAGATTGTACAGAGAGAAATATGAGCAAAACATTATTTTCTATGTTGGAATTAGCTTTCAAATTGTTTCTTAATTATTTTCTTAGCCGTGAAAAGCCAGTTATGTATTATGTTTAGTTCAAATAACAGATGAACTTGAAAACTTTTCATATTGGTATTATTTTCATGTTTTTATTCATAAATCTTGGAAATGTTTCTTGGTCAGCTACAAATTTTAATGAAAACTATAATCTCACTCAGTACATTTAAATTCTCATAGTAGAAGTTATTCAATATGTGATCTACAGATGTTAAAATAAAAACCCTTTCTCTCTCTCTTTTTTTAAATCAATGGCAAATGTGTGAAAACAGTAAGAAATGGCCTATTTTTCTTCCTTTTTTAACTAACCAGCAGGCCCTTACCATGGCTACCATATAATCACTAATATCTTACTTTATGGTGGTTTATTGTTTAGAATGCAAACAGCAACAAGAAAGCCATCATTAGACAAAACAGACCCATGGCCTCAGAAAGTGCAAAACCCAAAATAGCATAGGAAAAAAGTTGTTGTTTCAGCGATGGGTTTCGGGCATAACCAATGATCAAACTACCAAAAACACTGCCAATACCAGCTCCTGTAAAACATGAAACCATTTAGTCGAGATAAAACATAATACAATTATACATACATGTACATTAAAAATTAATAGATCTTTTTAAAGTCAAGCAACTTTGTAAAATTAGCATAATGTAAAAGTTTAAAAACATGAAAAAAGTTCAATTAAAATTCCCCGATATATAATACATCCTTCAACTAAAGAAAATTATATATATATATAAAATCTAAAGATAACCAAATTTGTTTACACACAAAGTCGCAAGCTGTAACATGCATGAAAAACCTTGCCCAATATCCTATTATACACACTCAACATTGTTATACAAACTAGTAAATGAAAAGGAATTTAAATAATTACTACAATATACAAGCATTTTAATAGAACAAAAACACCTCCCCCTCCATTACTTGAATGGTTACATGTATTGTTTATTAAATATCACAGTTAATAAATGTGGTATTTTGTTACCCCTGATACTTTTCAGTTCATACAGAACCGTTTTTCTTTCCTAAGTTATTATAATCTTGTATATTAAAAACATATGTAAATGTCTTGAGATGGTCAAATCTATTAGAAGAAAAACAAAATTAAGTCTCTAGAAACAACTTATAAAACTCCATAATGCAGCCACAAGGAGAATTAACTAACCTGAACCAGCTACTCCAACAGTAGCAGCACCAGCTCCAATAAACTTAGCAGCAGAATCAATATCTCTTTGTACTGTAGAGGTTTGAAGAGTTCTGGCAATCTACAGTTATATAAAAATGATAATCATTAGTAAGCATTAGTTTGGTAGAAAAAAACTGATTCAGTACAAAGTGATTATAAAAATCCAAATTATGACCTGAAGGCTTGAAAACCTTTAAAATATGGTGCATCCAAGAAAATATTATTTATTTAAAAGCATGTCTCTCTATATCATGTTTTGAACCACAAATATGTTTCTCAGTAAAGGAACCTCCATACAGCAGAAATTATTTTTGATTATTCTAATTGTATTCAATAACCTCCTACAGGTTATTTTCCCTGGCAATGCATGAAGTTTGACATTATCAATCAATTGTATCTAATAATTTCCTACACACTATCCCCCTTCTGAAGTTTGGGATGATTAATCTATACTACCTATATCTGATAACTTCTAAAACATTACATCTCCCTCAAAACAGCTTGAATTTGACATGATTAACCCAATTGTATCTGATATTAGATATCATCCCCCTCATCACTGCCTTAAGTTAGGTATGATTAAGTTATTCTCATTGTACCTAATTACCTCCTGCACACTATACCCCTCAACACCACCTGAAGTTTGAAATAATAATTTCCTAACAGCATACAACTCCATTTTAACAAAAAAAAGCTACACAATGGGCATCTGTACTATGCCCAGAACAGGTCTGAACTACAATTTTTATTGTCACAATCCCTCAAGGTTACCACTGATCTATAGTCACACTAAGAGTATTAGTTTCTAAGCTTAACATGTCTAAAATTAGTCTAAGATTATACACACAAATACCAACATTTATAGTTTAGACTTCATTTTTAATTTTCTTTAAAGATTTTTGAACACTAACACTAATTTGGGAATTTTAAATACCTTTTTTTTTAACAATTAAATCCAACTTTAGCTCCAACTAGTTTAGCTGAATTTACCACAAACAGAACAGCAATACGTAGGAATTCCTCCTCTTAGCAATTCAAACAAGGGGAAATAAGACCTACTGATTAGTTTCTGTACTGTCAATAAATGCTCAGACTAAAGATGTTTATTTATAACCTATGTTGGATTTTCTCAAGATCTGTAAAACATAGCATGATTTTCAAGAATATACGAACACTGAAGAGAGAAATATAAACTAATTTTTGTTTTTATCTACCTGTGTGAAAATGGGTTTTGAGTTGGTTGTTACTCCACTATGAGAAGAGAAGTTATTATTTACCTGAAAAACAACAACATAAGAAATCACAAATATAACACAAACAGAATTTAAGCACCTTCATAACTGTTGAGTTTAGAATGGAATTTTAAAGCTAACCATTTCAAAATTATTATTTGTTTAAATATTCCTATTGTTCTGGTATTTTTCAAATAATTATTTTACCTTTGAACACCTATAAAATTGGAGCAAGTGATATAATTAAATAATAACAGTAAAATAGGGTTCATACACTTAACCAAGAATAAAATTTCATGACTTTTCAAGGGATTCCCAGAACAGAATTATCCATTTTCTATGACACAGAAACCTCCTAACGTTACCACCTGATTCATAAAAAAACAAGTATTCTCTCAAATCTACTAAGTTTGCTTCATAAGTATTAACTCTTTCAACCTGAGCTCGGTCCCTGGGTCTGATCTCGTAACCATGTTATAGTTTTCATGCTATAAATTTCTTTTAGTAAACGAATGTTAACAAAATTTGGCAGTTTATCAGTAAACATTACAATGCTTTCATACACAAAATATTTTATTTTTTTTATTAAGTCTTAAGGTTTGTAAAGCAATGTTTCTCTCATAGTTTTATTTCTTTTTCACTATCTTGCTTATCTATC